CAAAGATGGGGGGGGGAAGGGGGGGGGAAGGGAAGCTTCCGGGAATCGACCCACCTTCTTTCTTCCATGAAATAGATTCAGGAATACAACAGCGAAAAGGCATATTTAATCCAGAAATGAAGGACAGAAAAGGTTGTTAGCAGAGTATTACAGAGGAAGAGTCAACAGCCAACACGAGTCTCCTCCTCTAACTGAAATCTCTCTCTGACACTCCACCAACTGAATTCAAACTGCCCGCTGGCTTAGCCACACATCACCACCAGGGGACTGTTATGACTACTCTCCTCGCCATTGAGGTGACGTCAGAGCCTGGTGGTACGGCTTTCAAATACAGGGGGCAGTGGCTGTGGTGACCTCTCTCCATCTCATCTCTCTCTTCAGCCAGGAGGATCGCTTCTTGGGTGGTGTTTTGGCTGAGTACTTCTCTAGCTTGACTACCCTTGAACATTGGAGGGCATTTATGTTAGCCCATTTTAATGTCCTTCCTTCTGCAGTACTGTATAGGAGGTTTTAAAAATTCCATACTTCTCTAGGCTCTATTCTTGCAGTCTGGGGGAGATAAAAAGTACTGAATATGTTCTCCTGCATTGTATATTTTACTGTGATGTTTGTGTCATATACCTAAAACCTCTGCTACAAAATCGCGAGGGTCAATCTGATGATTGCAAGACGGTTTTTCTACTATCTACCCACAACTCTGAGACTCAGTGGCTCTCTATGTTGTGCCATTAAGAGGAGAGGAATGTTTCCACTCCAGCTACGAAGGTGGTACTTTTATCCCTTGTTGGTGTGTGTTGTTTTGTGGTGATGCCAGTCAAGGTCTTCATGAGTGACTGGGTCATGATGGGCCGCTGGGGAAGGTGGGGCCCAAATGGTGTCCTCAGTTTATGTGATCTGACCCAGCATTATATTTTCTCTATATATTTTTGCAGATGAAAAAGAGAGGTTTGACCCCACTCAGTTTCAGGACTGTATTATTCAAGGTTTAAATGAAACTGGCAGCGACTTGGAAGCAGTAGCGAAATTTCTTGATGCTTCTGGAGCAAAGCTTGATTACCGCCGCTATGCAGAGACACTCTTCGACATTCTGGTGGCTGGCGGAATGCTGGGTAAGTGTCCTCCGACCGGGCCTCCTCACCGTCAGACAATCGTATATATTCAAGCCAGTCTGTGGCTTATTTCTGCTAAAAGACGTTAACGTGGCAGTATTCTTAGAGCATATTGGCATTGTATTCAGCAAGTATATACAAATGCGCTGGACAAAGTTTGAGTCCAATGGCACTTTGAAGACCAACCAAGTTTTATTCTGGGCATAAGCTTTGTTCTGCCACTTCAGACCAACACAGCTACCCACCTGAATCTGTCTTCCCAAAATATGCTGTACGAGAAGCATGGTATGCCCTCCTGGATTAAACATTTGAAGTCCTCAGTGGCCCTCAGAACAATTGTCTCACTCTGCTCTTTGGTGCTCTTTGGTGCTTCAGTGCTCTCACAGAAGACTGACGTGGCTGAAAGTTGGGGCTCTTAATACTAAACAATGGGAAAGGTTTCTTGTCCCCCAAGTTAACTCTTAAATGTAAGCAACTTTTGTTCTGCGAAGCTGAAGCAGTCAAAGCAGGGCTTCGTAGTCTTGTTGACTGAACCTATAACCTAAACATCCAATTTTTTAAATAGCCCCAGGTGGTACCCTGGCAGACGACATGATGCATACAGATGTCTGTGTCTTCGCGGCACAGGAAGACCTAGAAACGATGCAAGCATTTGCTCAGGTTAGTTCTAAACACGCCAGCTGGTGTTTGTTTGGGGTTTTTTGTTCCACCTCTATTATTATTATTATTATTATTATTATTATTATTATTATTATTATTATTATTATTATTATTATTATTACTTTCTATTTATTAATTGCTTTCCCCAGTAGACTCAAAGCGATGTACAGTTACTCAGTATAGACAAGGGACTAACAATGTTTGTAGGGGATAGGGAAGACAACCTATATTCATTTTAATTGCACGCGCCATCACTGCCTGGTGTAGACGTCTTCTGGCTGGCTCCATCAATTTCCTGCACGGCTGCTTGCTGGCCAGGCTTCAGGACCCGTATGTCAATCGCCACACTGCCACCGCCTGGCCGGAACATCCATTGCAGGAGTTCTTTTCATAGCCGAGAAGCTGTTTCGCCTTACAAGCCTTGACCAGGACGTCCAACCATCAGCTAACGCCCTCCCACAAGGGAGATTGGCGTGCCCACCCTCTCTAAGGAGTGGTTCCCATTTTATCTACTCGCCGAAGCTTTCGAATCGCTGGGTGGACGATGAGCTGGGGACAACAGGCTGGCTGTTCACAGCAGCGCGAGGCTTGAACCAACACAGTTCAGATGTTAAGACAGTGGGATATACCCACTGTGCCACCGCTCCCCTTTTTTGGTATCATAACATCCCAAAGGCAAGACAGAACAATTGTAGCTTTGTAAAGAGCATTTGTTTCAGTCCCTTTCCACAGCGTAACGTCCAGTTTTGTTTCATAGGTCTTTAACAAGCTGATCAGGCGTTACAAATACCTGGAAAAAGGCTTTGAGGATGAAGTCAAAAAGGTGGGCTGTCATTTGAAATGGTGGGCTTTCTGCATTGCAGGTCTGGTAAACTTGGTTGCCCAGCCCGGCGGGTATTTTTAACAGGAAATGAGTGGAACAGCTAGATAAAAGCCTGGCACAGACCGCTGAATGACCTGCCTGCCCTCTGTGAGAAAGTGCTGGTATTTGATTGCTTCCAGGAATCAGTGCCTCTAGATATCATGGTAGCGTCGCCAAATGGTTTTAGTGCCTCGCACATTTGGAAACGCTGACTCAGCCATCTTTTCCTCTTGCAGTTGCTGCTATTCTTGAAAGGTTTTTCAGAGTCTGAGCGGAACAAGCTGGCCATGCTGACGGGTATTCTTTTGGCCAACGGGAATCTTAATGCATCAATTCTCAACAGCTTGTATAATGAGAATCTCGTCAAGGAAGGTAATTCAAGATACTGGGGGGGGATATGAGGGAATAGTCCTTGAAAAAAAGCTTGTTGATTATGCTGCTTGTTATGTGTTCAAGTCTCCATGATCTGTGGCTGGTTAATTAATTGATTGATTTGATTCATACCCCGCCCTCCCTGCCGAGGCAGGCTCAGGGCGGGTGTCTTCTAAAGTTAGATTTAAACAGCGTAGCGTAAAAGAGAAGGAAATGTGGAGGATGTATAACATCAAGACTGGCTTTAGATTGCTGTGGCAGTGGATAACTGCAGTATCTTAGGCTTTGTTTGCCGGCCACTGGCGCTCCTGTCCAGCCCCACTTATTGGCTTGTGGACGTTGGCCTATGGACCCATATTCCCACAATTTAGTTTATAAATAAAGTTTAGACATTTTAAGAAGAAAAATGAGCACCGAGGTCTCGGCTTGCCGAAATCTGTACCCGATAGCGGATTTTGCACTCCTTTTGATAATAAAACAAAAGCTTGCCAGTGAGATTTCTGCCCAATGTGGCCTTTACATGCAGCGCTTAGTTCTCATGGCCCTTTCTTACACGCCCAACTTCTCGTGCAGGCGTTTCAGCAGCCTTTGCCGTAAAGCTGTTCAAATCATGGATCAATGAAAAAGATATCAACGCCGTGGCTGCTAGCCTCCGTAAAGTCAACATGGACAACAGGCTGATGGTAAGTCTCGTGCTTCTTCTTCAAGAATTTTATTGAAGAATCCAAAGTGAACAATACAAAGAAGTAACGGATGATTACAGTGATTTTAAAGTTATATGAACATGTAAAACTCCTTTAATGCTGAAAGCAGCGCTGCTGCTTTGAATGCATTCCTCAATGGTGCTCAACAGTGAACCCCTCTGAAATGTTTCAGGAACTCTTCCCGGCCAACAAACAAAGCCTTGAACACTTCACAAAATACTTCACGGATGCAGGACTGAAGGAGCTTTCCGAATACGTCCGGAACCAGCAAAGCATCGGGGCTCGGAAAGAGCTGCAGAAAGAGCTTCAAGAGCAGATGTCACGTGGGGATCCATTTAAGGACGTGGGTACCCTGGCCTACTTTCTCTTCATAGCCCGTGGAACTCTGGGCCGCTAGTCTAATAGTATAGTCACGATGCTTAATGGCTTTTTGAAATGGCAAAATTTCAGGTGATGTAAGCAAGGCACATAAATGAGAATATCTTGCTGTTCTGCTGACAAATAATGCGGTTGTCCAAGCAGAGGACCCGCCTTTGCATCACTCTAGATCACACGTTCACATCTGTTGTGAACTCAGTGGCAGCGGTATAGTCTGCCTTAGCAGCCAAGGTTTTACTATTGGAATTGGGCATAATTAAACGAGGACATGGATGAAAGCAGTGGGTTCGTATATCTCTCACGGTAAATGTTAAAACAGATATTCTGTTAAAAGAATGACACGTTCTGGTCAGTCCTTCAATTGCCACCTGTGTTTGGCTAATTACAGAGACATTAATGGTATAAATAATATACGTATGATTGACGTTTTTACCAAGGCAGGTTGGGAATTGCATGGGGTTATGAAACATCTGTGGTGTGCCTTGATACCCCTGCTGTGGGTTTCGAAAAATCCTGCTTGCCCACGTTCAGTGGTTTTCAAGGAGTACCAATAAAGACACACCTCCACTTTTTAAAGGGAGTCATGTAATATTGTATTTCATAGTTCGCAATGTTCATCCCACCCTTTCTTAAAGTAAATGGGGCTCTGCCACTCGGTTCTCCAAAGAGTCCTGTGAAGTAAGCTAGGTGGGTGGCCTCGGGCAACTCGCTGGGCTCTGTGGTGGAGCGGGGGTTTGAGCCTGCAGGCGTCTCCCTGGTCAGAATCCAATGCTGCCTGTCCTGGGTTTCATAGCATTGCGAAATAATGATTTCTATGTGTGACCAGAGGGGATTACATCTCTGTACTGCGTTGTTGCAGGAGCAGCACCCTGATCAGTACATGGGCAGTGCTTAAACCATATGTTGGGAGGAAGCAGGGCTGGCACTTGCCCTTTGTGCGGGTTTTCACACAGAGGGCCTAGTTTGAGCTGTGTGCGAGGGGCTGCGGGGCTGCTGTGCCCCCTGACCACTCCTGCCTGAATGCATGAACCCTGGGAGCTATAGGGAAATGACTCCGCTCTAGGGGGAAATTGGACTGGACGTCCGAGTGCAAGTCTCACGATGAACGCGAAGACCTGCCCAGTCCCAGTGGTGTCCTCGGTGCTGCTGTTTAACTTTATTTGAAACGCTCCTGCCCCAGTAACTTTTCTATGTTGTGTTGGTGTAAAACAGTACTAGAATGTGTCTCATTAGGATGGACAGGAAATCCCGTGCTGCGTTCTGGGGCTCCAGGCATGGCTTTTGCCGGGCAGCCGCCGGGCAGTTGAAGCTGCCAGTTCCTGTCAGTGCTGGCCGCAGCCAGAATAGGGGAGTGCCTGCTTTCTACGGAGAAATGCCTCCAAACGCCAGTATTGGCCAAGTTGTCTGGGGAGGTGGTGGGGAAGAGTGTAAGATGGCTGCACTGATGGTGGGGCTGCACATGGATCTAAACGTCTGTGCATGTCATAAACAGGGAGAGGACAACGTGGAGGTGTATAAAGCCACCACCTTAGCCCCGAGCGCTGAAGCTGGCATGCTTCAAGCGGCTAGAAATCTCTTTCCGTCTGGTGCCCGGTGTGGCCAAGTGTGCTGCCAAATCGGTGTCGCCTGGCTGCTTCTGTAGAAGGGGGGGGGAGTGGTTTAGTAGGTATTCAGGCTTCAAGTTGGCTATATTTGAAAAAGTATTCTAAGCAGAGCTTCTCCGGGCAGGAAGAAAGAAGGGTGCATAACTAACTCAAATTATATCTATTCAGATCATCTTGTATGTCAAGGAAGAGATGAAGAAGAACAACATATCAGAACAGACCGTGATCGGCATCATCTGGTCGAGTGTGATGAGCACCGTGGAGTGGAATAAAAAGGAGGAGCTCGTAGCAGAACAAGCCATCAAGCACTTGAAGGTATTTGCGCACCGACGTAAGGTTGGGTACATTGATCTGCTTCTGGGGTTAGACCTGAAACGATGTTCTGTGTGCCAGTATGAGTAGCAGCAGTGAATCTTCACACAGTGAGGATAAAAGTGAGGTGAGATTTTTCAGATGGTTTCAGTAGGGGGGGGGGGGCCTTCTGATGTGCTAAAAGCTTCGTGGGTTATGTAGAGTAAGCCTTTGAAAATGCAAAATCCTGCCTCACAAGTAGTCTTCAGAAACAACATTGAGCCCTTGAACCTTCCCCTCCCTGTGGTGCTTCCTACAGACTCACTCCATTCAGGAGCTGCTGCAATAGCTGGCCGCCCCCGCTGATACTTTTTTCGTCTGTGTAAGGCTTCATCTCCTGCAAAGCTCAGAATTCTCCAGGCATCCCAAGTGTGCCCCAGGAAGCTGCTTGAGAGCCAGTGTGGTGTCCTGATTAAGAGTGGCAGACTCTAATCTGGAGATTTGATTCCCCACGCCTCCTCCACATGAGGCCTGCTGGGTGACCTTGGGGCAGTCAGGGTTCTCTCAGGACTGTCTCAGCCCACCTGCCTCACAAAGATGCCTGTTGTGGGGAGAGGGAGGGATGGCGACTGTAAACCGCTTTGAGACTCCTTAGGGTAGAGAAAAATGAGGTCTACAAACCTGCTCTTCTTCTTGACTGCGGTTTGAATGTCCTGCTTTTCATGTGGTGGTGGCTGGGAAATGTGACTGCCGCCTCTCTCCACAGCAATACAGCCCTCTCCTCGCTGCCTTTACAACCCAAGGTCAGTCTGAACTGACGCTGTTGCTCAAGATTCAGGAGTACTGTTATGACAACATCCACTTCATGAAGGCCTTCCAGAAAATAGTGGTGCTCTTCTACAAAGGTGAGCGTAATTTCAGCTCAAGGTGGGAGGGTTACCCTAACCGGACCCAGAGAAGGGGGAATTTGCTTTAATAGGGGTTCCAGAAGGCAGTACTGCAAGACTTGTCGCCTCTGTATCCCAGGGTGGAACTCGGTAGTGGTGCCCCAGAATAAAATTATGAAGAGAGAGTGATTGTAAACACAATTTTATTGTTTACAAAAATGAAATGAACAAAAATGTAAAGCACCTACCCTTGGGCACCTGCGAACTAATTCCCCAGGTCACTACACACACGTGCACGCACACTCCAACAAGAAGGCACACTGCTAAAAGGCCAGGAGGGAGAAAATTGGGAAGTTCCAGAGAAGGGACCTGTGGCCTGAAATCCTGGGTTTGAGGTCTGGTCCAGGGGCAGACACAGCCGAAGTCCAAGGAGCCGAGTGAGGAGCTGGCTAAGGAAGGCGAAGAAGCCCTCACGCCTAGCAGCCAGGGCACGGTGACCTACATTATGGGAGGTGGGATTTGAGCCATCCTGGCTTTGAATTGCGTCGAGGAAAACAGGTTTGAATCTCACTGGCTGGTTTAAATCCAGGTGGGCAGTAGCCTCATTGGTCTGAAGCAGCAGGACAAAGTTTGAGTCCGGGGGCACTGGGCATCGGTTACTAGAACAGCTTGAGCTTAATGTTCCAATGTCGGCTCAGCAAAGAGCTGTGAGTACTTTGTGCTTTGTAAGCCCCGGTGGTGGCTGGAACGCTACAGGTCATTTTGGTCATTTTGAAGGACGGCTGGACTCTATAATCACGTTGTCCCTGTTCTTTCAGACGCGCGTGTGCTGGCGAACGTCTCGCTTGATATTTATTGCGCAATACGGGGGGATCTAGGTCACAGTTGGTGGCCTCCTCTAGATCAGTTTCAGCCCTTTCCCCTCGAGTTCTTTTACCCATTTTGGCACCTTCCTTGTGCTTAAGTGCAGGCAGTTGCATTTCATTAGGGAAGAGGTTTTGTCCTACTCTGCGCTGGTTTTTCACTTAATAATTTGGCAAAATGCTTCAGCCTTTGTGTGTGTGTGTGGGGGGGTGATGGTAAGGGAGCAGTGGACCCGGGGGGGGACCCTCCACTTTGTACTATTGAGGCAGTGATTTCCAAGTGAGCAAAAAAGTTAAGTTTATCTCACTCTCTCTCGATTGAACTATCTCCTTGGAGAGTATTTTATTCTGCTATAGAAGCTTGCAGCACAAGGCTTAATTACTTTGCTTCTTTGCTTGGGAGGGAGTTATTCCCCCCCCCCCCCCAAAAAAAAATCTTCATACAATCAGAACTTCTGTGCTACAGGGCTTTCTGGACAACCTGCAAAAAATAATTAAGTGTAAAAAGCATCTCTGTTTCACTGTTTCTCAAAGTGGGCAATACTGCCCCCTAGGGGGTGCTGAAGTAATCCAGGTGGGCTGGAACGATCCAAGTGCAGATGCACAAACTGCATCTTTTTGTCCACTTGAAGATAGATTTACAGGGGGGTGCTGAGTAATTTATTTATTTATTTTTTTAAAGGGGGCAGTAGGCCAAATAAGTTTGGGAACCTCTGGTTCATCTGATGCCAAGACAGGGGTCTCTTCTTATATAGCTTGTGTGTGTCTCAAATAGCTGTGGCAAAACCAAGGTGTTTTTTTTTTTTTAGGAGATCACACTTAGTGTGGTTGGCTGTTCTTCAGTTACCACTTTTTCTAGACCATTTGTAATGGCACCTTCAACAGTTTGCCCTGCTTTGGAGCCAGTTTGGTGCAGTGGTTAAGTTCGCGGACTCTAATTTGGGAGAACCGGGTTTGATTCCCCACTCCTCCACTTGCAGCTGCTGGATGACCTTGGGCAAGCCATAGTTCTGATAAGAGTTGTTCTTGAAAAGAGACGTTTCTGTCAGAGCTCTCTCAGCCCCATCTGTCTCACAGGGTGTCTGTTGTGGGGAGGGGAAGGGAAAGGAGATTGTAAGCGGCTCTGAGACTCCTTTGGGAGTGAAGGGCGGGGTATAAATCCAATCTCCTCTTCTTCGTCGTCTATAAGAAGCCAGGCTCATTCTTAAAAGAACCCATGTATTGTAATAGCGAAGTGGGCTCTCCAGAAACTTTTATCAAAAAGCAGAGGCAGGCACCACTGTGGGTCTCTTGAAAAGGTACCGCTCAGACCTGAGAAGCCCTTCTGTCCCAAGCTTCCTGTTGTTCATTTTCAATGCCTTGTTCCCAACAGCGGAGGTGTTAAGCGAAGAACCCATCCTCAAGTGGTATAAAG